CCCCCAAAAAAAAAATAAAAATAAAAACATAAAATAAAATAAATTGCTGCAGACTCTTTTTAAGATTAAAAACCAAATATTTACAAAAAATAAAATAAAAATCAGAAAAGTCTGCAAAAATAACTCCTGTTTTAAAGAGAAAGGGAAAATGTGGCTACAAACGAAGCAATAGCTCGACAAATTGAATTAATTAATTATCGACATTCAGAATAAAAACTAAACAGCTGAATTCACATGAACTGTTCTTTTATAATGGAGTTTAGAGGTTTAAAAACTGGTCAGTAAATACAAGAAGAAAAACACTTTATATATTCATGTCTTTTGTGGGGAAAACCAAATGGTATTAATGAATGAATTATAAAAGCATAACAACAGGAAGACAATAAAAGTGTTTTCCCTGAGCCACTGGCTCAGATGTTTACGGGCGGCGGTCGTAATCGCTGATCCTCTTCTTGATGTGAGACAGCTTGAATCTGAGATATTTACACCTTTTCTTCTTCATCTGGTAATCTGAAGACTGGGGGAAATAAAAGAAACATTTCATTTTTAAAATTTATTTATTAATTTTTATATTATTTTTATATTATTATTTTTTAGACAATAAAAAAAAAGCTTTTGCGTCGGCTGTGGCTGAGTGCTTAGTGCAGTCGTCCTCCAATGGGAGAATTGGAGGTACGATTCCAGCAGCAGTCACATGTTGAAGTGTCCCTGAGCAAGACACTGAACCCCTCACTGCCTCTGATGCGTCTCATCGGTGTTTGAATGTCTGTCCTAGCCTGGACAAAGACGTTTGCCTCTCTATCCATACTCTGTGTTCTGTGACTGATTCAAGGCTGAAGAGGAACAATTAGACTGAAGATCACTTCCAAGATGACTGGACTATCCCTTTAACTGCAGTGTGTTCAAACTAACAGCTCAAACGAACAGAAGACGCCTGTCACATCCTCTGTTCTGTCACAAGGGAAGCAACTAAAAACAATTTTGCGCAAGCATTTGCTAGAACAAAGTCCATGCTCAATAATCCAGGTATAGAATCCAACATTTTTCAGTCAGGTCATCTGGACAGTGTCTTTTTTTTTGTGCTAAAACGTTTCGCCTTCGATCCGGAAGGCTTCATCAGTTTGTTATCACAAGCAAAACTGGTTTGTTCCACTTTGGAGTAAGCTGTTGGGGGAAGAATCAGTTTTGTTGTGTGCTTCCTTGACTGATGAAGCCTTCTGGATCGAAGGCGAAACGTTTCAGCACAAAAAAAAAAAAAAAAAAAAGAAACTGTCCAGATGACCTGACTGAAAAATGTTGGATTCTATACCTGGATTATTGAGCAGGGACTTTGTTCTAGCACCAATAGCATATCTTAAAGTTGCTGCAGTTAAAAAGTTCATACTTGGATCTAGGGATCTGGCCGATGGCCCGTTGTGAGGCAAGCCACTGTCCGTCCCGGCCCCTGCCTCTCGGTGCCCCCTCCATGCTCTTGGCTGAGTGTCCTGCTGGGATCCGAAGTGTTTACTTTGAAAATATTAGTGTTCAAAGCTGGCCTAGTCACCTGAAAACTGCAGCTAGGAATAATGGAGTAGGACTCCGGTTCCATTTTGTGGGTTTTATCTTCTGAACTGGGGCCATGATTGCTAGGGACAGCCAGAGGCATTCGTATTGTGCTGCTAGAGGTGAAATTCTTGGGCTGGCGCAAGACGGACGAGAGCAAAAGCATTTGCCAAGAATGAGGGTTGTAAGCTCAATCATCCAGGCAGATAACAACAAAAAAGATTAAATCATGTAATCTGGACCAGTTTCTTTAAGTGAGAAACGTTTTGTCTGCCATCCAGAGGACTTCCTCAGTCTATGGACTGCCAAACAGATCTGTCCCATAGGTAGCCTTCACTGCTGTGTTTCAACGTTTCTCACTTAAAGAAACTGGTCCAGATGACACGATTTAATCTTTTTTGTTGTTTGCCAAGAATGTTTTCATTAATCAAAAATGAAAGTCGGAGGTTCGAAAATGATCAGATACATTGTAGTTCTGTCCGTAAACGATGCCGACCAGCAATCCGGCGGTGTTATTCCCATGACTCGCCGAACAGTATCCAAGAAACCAAAGTCTTTGGGTTCCGGGAGTAGTGTGGCTGCAAAGCTGAAACTTAAAGGAATTGACGGAAGGGCACCACCAGAAGTGGAGCCTGCGGCTTAATTTGACTCAACATGGGAAACTTCACCCGGCCCGGACACGGAAAGGATTGACAGATTGATAGCTCTTTCTAGATTCTGTGGATGGTGGTGCATGGCCGTTCTTAGCTGGTGGAGCGATTTGTCTGGTTAATTCCGATAATGAACGAGACTCCAGCATGTTAACTACTTACGCAGAACTGTGCTCTCAACAAGTTTTTATTAAAAAAAAAATTTTAATCTGTCCAGAGGACCTGACTTAACTTTGTTAGACTTTTCTACCTTGATTATTGATCATGCATCAAGATACTGACCTTCTTAAGATTCTTCAGTTTGTTGTACTCATTCAAGGCATCCTGCATGCAAGAAGAAAGAGTGACCAGTCACAAGAAAGCATTGTCCAGGATTCATGCAGAACTTTGATCCAGTTAAAACAGTCGATTCAGAGTCACGGTCAATGGTTTGATTTATACTGTTGCATTAAGATCCTAGAATTAAACTTAAGAATGTTTTTGATGGACGATCACTTCTGCAACTACAGGATCCTTCAGCAAAGTCTGCATCAAAGGCAACATGTGGTTCTCACCAGGAACTGGGGGCTGCCCTCAGACAGCCTGTCCAGGTCTCCTTCAACCCCAGCCAGGTCCTGGTTTACATTGTCCAGCTCAGCCTGCAGGTTCTTGTATTCGAGGTGGTCCCGGTCAAACTCTCGCTTGTACTTCAGACGCTCGTGTTCATCCAAGATTGATGGAAACAAACTGCAGAAGAGAATAATCTGATTAAAGGATGCTTTCCCCCATGTCAGTGTTTGCACTTTTAAAAGAACAACTCATACATCACTAAACAAGCTTTACTGCAACTTTCAGAAATTTATGATGACCTCTACAGCCAACCAACTTTATTTAGTAAACACAAGAAATGCTATAATTCAGTCAATCTGAAATATCTTGAGCTAAAACTTAGTGTGGTAGTACCTGAGCATTGTCCACAACACATACTTTAAGCACAATGCATTGCACAATATTTTTACTTGAAACTTTGGTTGGCGTGTTAGCAAAATATTTTAAAAACCACTGGATGGATTTCAATCCAACTCCTACAAAGTAATTATTGGAGCAATTTTTAAGGAATATTTGTATACAGCAGATTACCTTTTGAAGTAAACAATTCAAGATAAATAATTTAGACTTTGATTATGAATAATGTATTAATTTAAAGCACGGAGTTGTTGTTGCTGCAGGATTTTTTTTTCTTAGGAAGAAGCAGGTAAAGATAATGGATGGATGGATGGATGGATGGATGGATGGATGGATAAAAGCTCAAATATCCAAAAGTGACTTTTTAAAGGCGCTGCTGTGACCAGTTCATGTTGGCAGCTTCTTTAAAACGTGACAACATTATTATGCTGGAATGAATTGCAGCCTACAACACAATATCAAGGTTCAAGGTTCAATGTTATTTATTTGTTTAATACGATGTTTGTCAGTGTATTTTTGTTGGCACTATTTTGTGAAGTGGAAGGTTACACCGTGTTGTGAAGGCAATAAAGGCAGAGCCACACCACTGCCTTCTCTCTCAATGTGTGTTACGGGACAGTGTGGCTACCAGTTAAACAGTGAATAATGTTTCCCGTCTCCTGTGTACTTAAAGAGTAAGTTAATGTTTCTGTAAAGATGTCAGCACAAGTGATAGAGGGTGAAGGAAAGCCAAGAACTTCCCGTGTGAATAGTGGGGGACACGCTGTAGAACAGCCAACATCATTGTCATTCGCATCACATGTAGTACATGAGGTGGAACAAAATTGTGTACACACGGTCCCAGTTACATCCAAAAATAGCAAAAATATAAATTGTAAAGGAAACAATAATAAGAATCCAAGATATAAACTAAGAATGTGCTAAACACTAATAGTGCAAAACAATACGCCAAACAGCATCATGAACATGAGTCTGTGTGAGTAGATGAGTACGAATGAATACAGCAGCATGGATAATCAGCAGCATGGATAATCAGCAGCAAATAACAATCAAAGTGGCATTACAGTGATTTTACTTTTCACAGTGATAGCTGATTAGGGACTCATGAGTCTAACAGCTTCAAGGTAGAAGTTGTTCCTCAGTCTAGTGGTTCTAAACTTAATGCTCCTCAACCTCCTCCCTGAGGGGAGTGTGGCAAAAAGTGTGTGTGCTGGGTGAGTGGGGTCCTTCATGAAGCAGGTGATCCTCTTCCTGCATCTGGAGGTGTAGATGTCTGTGATGGTGGGGAGATTGACTCCAACAGACTTCTGTGCAGCCTTCGTGCCACCAGGGATGGAAATTAGCACCCACCACTGGCCAAATGTGGGTAAATGTTTGGAGTGACGTGTAAATTTAAAATTTAAAATAAAAAAAAAAAATAAATAATTGAACAACGCACCAGCAACTGTGGCAGGTTTGCAATTTGAAAATAAAACAAAAAGTGTTCAGTTTGTACTCCCGACCTGTAGGGGTAGCAATGTGCCTGAGGAAACAGTAGCTTTAGCCTTTAGCAATGTGGCGGCAAATTTCGGGAGTTAAGCAGGTTGCAGACAACAAAAACGTTTCTCCACAGGAGTTGAGGGATAAACTGTGGGTAGTTTTTTTTTAACGAAAAATGTAAAAGAAATTACTATGGCGAGTTCTGTGACTGTCTCGTTTTTGATGACAGCGGCCAGTCAGTCAACGTTTTGTTCCAGCTGTTGGCAGCATGAGCTCTCCAGTAAGAACTAAGTAAAACAAAACAGACAGAGACCATCAAGGACCACAAATCATCTAAATGCAACAAGGAGGTGAAATGCATTGTTCAAGAAGAAAAATGCTGGTGCTATGAGTGCAGTTAGCAGCTGAAAACAACCCAGCATGAAAAACTGAACGTAATATAAATACAAAATACGGTGAGAAGTCCAGGCAGTGAATGCAAAAGTGCAAAAAAATGCAAAAAAAATGTGAAGTTGTCCAGGACTTTCTATTATAAATTAAGTGTACTAATCCTCCACAGGCCGGGACCCAAACTGGCAGCCTGCATGGACCAGCACCAGTGGAATGAGGTCTTAAGCTCGAGGAAAGCAAAGACCCATCTCCTGGACAGTCTGTGTGAGAAGCTGCGGAACCGATTTGCTGATGAATTCCAGGGTTCTTCATGCAACCAAGTTGGTGGACCTGAAGTCTTGGCCTGATGCACAACACTCTGAAGGTTTATAGTTTGTCCTAATATTTTTCAATTTTAAAATAATTTACACATTTGGTGATCCATGTAGTATAACTAAATATTTGTGGGACTATTTGTGTGTATTTCTGCAGAGTTTGGGGAGGCAGAGGTAGATGAACTGACAAATCCTTCAAGCCTCAGGAGTGACAACTGATCTCATCCCAGACCAGTGGACAATTCTAAAAAAAACGTTTGTACCAAAAGGGTGACATCCTCCATTCTACAACTTGGCCCGAGATAAACTGAATGCTACAGCATCAGTGCCCTGATGTGCTCAGTGTAGTGAACCTGATCTGACCCTGATGACCTCAAATCTATCAGATGGACAGAGACTGTTATTTCATTGATCTGAATACAGTTTGAGCCATCTGGTGACTTTCCTTCTTGAATTAATCAAGCAGAAAAGACAATTCTCTATGATCATCACTGTTTTACAAATGTTTGATAATCAAATTGTGTTAGTTCACTCAATGTTACAGGTTGAAAAGAACTACTCATTTTTATTTTACATAAACAGTAAGTAATGATTTTTATTCCTCATTCAAAGAAGAAATCAGGTTAATATGCATTTCTTGATTTTTCTGTCTGTAATGTAAGTATGTTAAAGGTCGGTTTTCGGTCAACTAAAATGTTTACCGAGAAAAATGTCATGTTTAAACTTTTTCAGAAGATAATAAGAGTGAGACTCCACGAAGTCTGAAGTCCTACAATAATCTTTCTGTTTGTTACTAAACAATCCTTGATTTTTAATAACATCTTACATCATACACCACACCTCTATTCCTGGTCCATCGACCAATCAAAAGCTCTCAAATGACCCGGAAGTCGACCCATTTAAAATGTGGCAACTTCCCAGTTCAAAAGAGTTGAAGGAGTTGCAAGAAGCTGAGACGCTGAGTTGCTGGAGTTTGTTGGTTGCTGTGTTGCTGTACTCAGAAATGAGTTCAACTAGAGAGCGCACAGAGTGATGGAGTTAGAGCTCTTGGATGCAGACGCGTTCAGGATGATCCAGAGACGTTTTGGGATTATAATTTCTGTTTGAACACCACGCACGACTCTCGAAGGATTTCAGCTGCTCTCAACGGAGACGCTGAAAGAGTCTGAAGGATTCTATACCGACATTGAGTCATCGTCAACCAGGTAACAGTTTCTTCTTCGACTAAAGTGTACCGGAAGCAAGCTGAGATCTGATGGAGCGTGCACGTTCTGGTCATAACAGATTAATTCCCTCACATATCTCTCTGTAAGATAAATTTCATCTTAAACTCTGCTTTCTCTTAAAATCAGTACAGATATTTTAGAAATATCTGAAGCAAAGTCCTCAATCACCGCCGCGTGATTGAAGCTCATTATTTGTGAAACTTGTCTGTTATTATTTTCATATTTTGCCAAATTAATGTAAATGTTTGATGTTAAACTTTGATTCTGAAAATAAATGACCGCATTCATTT